GAGCTTGTTGTTGTTGCTGCTTGGCCACTTCGTCTTGTTGAGCTTTGTACGCCTCGTCGTCCTGCTGCATTTGAGCTTCGGCGGCGTCTTGAGCAACCTTTTGGTCATGGCCCTTCTCTCCCATCTTGGTGATGCCGTACACGAGAGCGCCACCGCCCAGAGCTGCGCCAATGATCGGCAGCTTGCTGCGTTTCTTACCTTTCACGGGCACAGCTGGATTAAGGTGAGCAGCTCCGAGCAGCCTCTCTTCAGCCGCTGCAAGACCAGCTGTGCCACCACCGCTGTGAATGTGAATGTTGGTGGTGCCGAGGCCAGGGTGCATCGAGAAGGATGGTCCGAAAGCACCCCCAGCATGGTGGCCTGGCAAGTGCGGATGAGCGTGTGCGCCTGCACCGATTGCGTCGAGTCCCTTTGCAGCTCTGAGCTGCCCAGTCACTTGGTGAGCAGCCTTTTGCCAAAGACTGGCAGCTCTGCCGAGTTGAGGCTCACGCGCCTACGATTGCCGAAGGAGAAAAGGGGTGGTGAGGTGATCATGTTAGCGATTCCTGCGCATGGCGATCTGGAGCTCACCTGGAGCCAAGACACCGAATCGAGGAATGCAGCATCTTGCAATGACCGCTTCGCCACAGCGCCCTGCGCTTCAGCTTCAGCTTTGCGCGCATCTGCCTTTTCCTTTTTTTCCTCCGCCTTTTCAATGTCTTTGGGCGTGACAGTGTAGCCAGTGTGGGCTTTGATCAGGCCAGGAGTGAGCAATCCCGCCATCAAGCCGAGCGAGCCCATGATCCATGGATGTTTACCCGCTCTGGCTTTGGCAAGCGCTTTCTCCTTTCGGTTCTTGTAAATGACGTCTTTCACGACATTCCCGAATTGATTCTCGCCCGGAGTGTAGGAACGGGTGGGATTTTTCCCTTTCTCCAACTTCACTGCCTCATCTATGTACCACGAAAACCGAGACTTTGCAAGCGGAGCGCGCACCTGTATTCGTGTGCCGAGATCGGGATTCGTTTCAGCGCGCCACGCCAACAGAGTGAGAAAAGAGATTGGAAAGTGTCAGCAACTTCTTCGTGAGAATGAGGCCACATCGCGGGATCATTGGGAGTTGAAAGGGAACCCAAACTGCCATGTGGAGGTACAGGCGAAAAGCCAGCACCTACGCACCTGCGAGTTACAAGCAGATCAAGCGTCAATTTCGGCAAGATCGACAACAACACGCAACTCACACTTACACCACCATCTACCTTGGGCTTGTCAACTGAGGTATGGACGACGGGCGCAGGCTTGGTCTCGGCATGCGCATGTTCGCTCGGAGGGAGCTCGCGCGTGTGAGCGGCACCAATAGGGTCATGATCAGGTGATTTTGCGCGAGCTGGAGATGGACTTGGGCTGATGAAAGGGTTGGTCGAGTGACTTTGGCCCTTCTCCACGATGGGAGTGCGCGGAGAGTCGAGCGGGGTGGTGTCCCAAGTGGTACCGTGTCGTGAAACTTGCGTACTCGGAGGAAAGGTGTGCGCCTTTTCCAAGATGCGCACTGGACCAGGCGGAGGAGCGGGATGACGGTAAAGTGTGCCTCCTGTCGACGTCGCTGGCTCTGATCTGGTACCAGATGTGCTTGGTGCCAAGACCTTTTCTTTCCCTTTGATCTTATTCAGGATGGGAGCAGCGTCTTCCAGGACCTCGAGGAAGACGCGACGCTGCAAAGTCTCTCCCCCGATGTCGTGAGACGTCGAAGCTTTGATCGAGCCGTACGCATTATACCGTTGAATCGTTCCGGCGTCCTGTGCCAAGTCGAGATGCCCAACCTCTCGTCTCGCCCAACCCACCACAGAATTCGCATTGCGTTTGGAAACGAGCGCAATTGAG